CTAACTGTGGTTGCACTAAGCTGTTCTTCTCCAGCAATGTTTCAAAAGACTATACATACCGATTTAGCTCAACCATCAAGAACATTCAAACATGTAACCATTCAATTGAACATTTTAAAGAATATAACTCATGTTAACACTCAGATGCATTCCAATTCCTGACAAGGCTGACCTTAAAACACTTTACGCGAAATTGCCTGCACATTATAAAGTGAAAATGGGTTGATTTCAATTAAAACGAATGAAAGATGACAGAGGTGCATGTTCCGATTGAATGCATAAGTGAATTTTTATTTGTACGATAGGTATGGGCATTTTAAAGGGAAATTACAATTCGCTCCGAAACGAACGTTGCTCTTACTAAATCATATATCTGTCCTAAATATTGCATGGGGGAACTTCTGTTAAACACAAATAACTCACACACTGATGTAACATATTACTTGCAGCAGTTATGAATAATAGAGCAATGCTTAGATACAACAACAAAAAATAAGCACTATTTAACCCCCCATTTAAAACTAAGACAATGGTTTCATACGCCTTGTTTTTCTGCACTCACCATTGGAACCAAAGATGAAACCGCGGCAAAGGTGGCTGCAAGAATCAGCAGCTTCCACACGATAGCCATTCTGGCAATCTTTGAAGTCAGGTTTTTGAAGAGAAATGGGAAAATAATTGGCTGGTTGTACTTGAAGAGAAACCACCGTGGTTGGAAATCCAGTTGTTGCGTGGCTTTATATACCTTATAAAATTTAGTAGCCTTCTGACTTTTTTGAAAGAAAAAACCCATAGGCCCATAGAAGTCATACCTGCATAATTCTGACATCGACACTCTGTTTTTGATTTTTCTTGATACACTTCTGATTTCATTGCAGGTCCAAAACACACAGCAGCTTTATTTGGTTTGTTCTTAACTGATGTTACAGAATTTGTTTTGACTTCAGGGGAAAGCCAACGCAGTTTGCATAGCACGGCCCTAGAAAATATTTGAAAAGGCAAACAGTTAAGGCTATTAAAGTGGGGTGGAATGCACGTTAAAAAGTTGATTTGACTATATAAGCAGATAATGGCTACAAAAGACTTTATTAATAGATTTTCATAGTTAATATCATAACTGTTGCCGCTAAATCCCAGGGACCGACATTCATGGATACAGTTCCAAAAATGCAGCATCAATATTGTCCCTAGATGTCCTTAGATGATAGGTTTACAAACTCTTCCGAAAGCACACGTCAGAAGCTGAGGTAGACTAAACCGTTGTAAAACTTTGCTGGTACTTGGAATTTCATGTGTAGTTTAACGAACCATCCACATACATGTAGAAGAGTATGTACAGGAACCGATATGTTGAAATTTGATAGGCACAAAGTAGAAAAAAGCAAAATGAAATCAGACGCAGTTGTTGGTACATCAACAATCACAAAGCTGTTTTGGATTTCGAGTCGTTGAAGAGATAATTGTATCAGTAATTATGATCTGTGACGATTTTGCTCTAGGACCCTCTGTAGCAGCTGGACTTAGAGTGTACTCCTACACTGTAAATATATAGTCAGTCACATCGACAAAAGTGCCTAAAACTGGCCGTCGGAAAATATGTACAAATATTTGTGTAAAATCATTAAAATCTTTATAAACAAAAATCACAAGATGACGTCATCATGACATCATCATTTGGAATAATTTTTTTATCAGGGTCTTTGTTGGCTGCAACTTTGATGAGGATCCAATATCGCAAAGCTATACCAAAATTGCTTGAAAACATATACAATGTCAATAGGCAATAAACACATATGCAGAAAAACTGCTCCTTTAAGTTCATGTCACGTGATTTGTGTCTAAACCGAAAATTTTTTATGAAATATTACTTGATATTTTGACTCTTGAGTATGTTCCAAATTGAATAACCTAGCATAAAATATGCAATTCCCCTTTCATTCTGGGAGTAATCTTGAGCAGAGGTTGAGGATTACTCGCTCATCAAGATTGATAATTGTGTGTTATAGAAAAACGTGTGAAAAACCTACGGGAAAAGACTTTAATCTCATGACATGTGACTTCAAATGACGTCACCGTGTTGATTTACTTTAGGCAGCATCTTGGAACTACATACGCTCTAAAAACAAAGTCGCTCAGATGAATGAGTGTGCCAGTCTTTGATTTCAGAAAACGTGCACAAAACCCGTGGAGAAAAACTGCACCTTTAAAGTAAGTCGTGTGATTTGCGCTTATATTAAAAAAAAAGAAATATTATTTGATATTTGGACTCTTGGATATATTTGTAATCTAACAAAAGGGAAAATTTATTTCTGATTTCTCTTTTTCTTCTGGTCAAAGTTGAGGACTATCCCCCATTCAAGTTCGATAATAGTGTGCAGTACAAAAACGTGTTTACAAACCCAATGGGGAAGATTGCAACTTTAATTTTATGTCACGTGACTCCTGATGACATCACTGTGATATTTTCATTTTGACAGCCCCATGGGTTGATGGACTATATAATTATGCTCCCAATACAAAGTCGATCAGATGTATGAGTGCACCAGTCTTTGACTTGAGAAAACATGCACAATATCTACAGAGAAGAACTGCACCTTCAAAGTCATGTCACGTGATTTGCGTTTACCTTGAAAAACATTTATGAAATATTATTTGACATTTGGACTCTTATGTATATTTGTAATCGAACGGAGACAAAAAAATATGATTTCTCTTTCGTTCACATAGTAATTCTTGGCTGAAGTTGAGAGGCCGTCTCCTTAAAAAAGAGTTTATTTTTAGGGTCGTGCAGGTACCCTGGGAAAAAGTGATTTGAAATTCTCCCTCCACACTACTCCATAGTGGCGTGATCAGAAAATGGAGGTTTCGTTTGCATTTTACTCTAAGCCAATCAGCATGAAAATAACTTCTAGACAAAAATGCGTACCAGGATATCGTTGCTTATAAAGTTTTTGTAAAATCTGTAGAATAATTCAGCATCTCTTCCTTGGCATTCCAAAATTGTTATCGGTGTAATTTTTTTTTTTTAAATGTTGTTTGTTTTCCGATCACAGTTGCCATCTTTCTGTGTAACTCTATCAAGCTCAAAAGAGGCTTTTACGGGAGCAGTTCCCAAGAGAACCGATGCTTCTTGGTCTCAGATGTGTCCAATACGAAGCCAGGGACTCGCTGCGACGCCTGGAAAACCAGGGCTGCTGGGGATCCCCTGGCCCATGGCCCTATTGGGTTAGAGGGTGATGTCGGATTCAAGGGTCAAAAAGGTAAGATTGGTCAGATTGGTGAAATGGGTGAGTTGTGAACCCTTGGCCAAAACGTGGCGTTTGAGTGGGTCTGCTTGGTTAAACGGGTCCAAGACGACCACCTGGTTCAGTTGGTACCACCCGGGAGCTGGGGATCAAAGTTGAAAGGGCGATCCAGGTGAAACTCCACTTGACTCTACCCATTTGCGTAGCATTCCCGGTGACGCAAATGAGTATATTGGACATCTCTACTAGTCAGAACACCTGTTTGCCATTTGAGAAGGCCGAGACGCTTTTTCCGGGTACTGGGTTCGAGATGACGACTGGTGCATGCACATGTAATGTGCCGGGCACCTGCGTGTTCATGTTTTCAGCGCTCAAGCAGCAACATCTACGTTCATCTCAACAAAACAACAACCAAATGGTCTTTTCTGGTAGCACTCATTCGTCCGGCCACACTGAACAGGCATCTGGTGCCGCAGTGCTGATTCTACAGTGAGGGGACTTTGCGTTTCGACCATGTTCAGTTTGAGGTATAGTCATCTAAGCCTTCACTACACCTCTTTCCCCTGTACCCTCAAAAAGTAAACAGCGATGACGTGTTGCTGCAAAGTCTACGAAGCGATTTAGGATGAATTCAAAATGGGAACAATATATGGAACAAAAGAGAGTTCACATCTCGTTTGCAGCTCGTTGTATTTATTTCATTATTCATATTCTTTATCTACTCCCAAAAGAATCTAATTTTTCTCTTAAATTGCACCTGACAAATTCTTGTTCTCTTGCTGTTAACACCGTTATACTTTGTTTTGTGCGTACTAACTTCAGGCTAATCGTGCTCATTTCCCACAACAAATCAAGAATACCAGTAGGTCATCCACTGATAATATTCAGATAACTCAATATTATGCAGACTCCATAAAGACT